GTTTACGGGCAATTTGCGAGGCTTAGCTGTCATAGAAACTTTTTGTAATTTATACCATACTATCTCACACTAGTCCTCATTCGAAATATCAAATCACCAAATTGCTGTCTACCTTACTTTTTGTACGGAGGCCCATTGAAGACACACTAATCGACATATATATGGCCTATATGAGTATATTACTCAGAGTTTACGGGCAAATTGCGAGGCTTAACCGTCATAGGAACTTTTTGAAATTTAAACCATACTACCTCACACTAGTCCTCATTCGAAATATCAAATCACCAAATTGCTGTCTAACTTACTTTTTGTACGGAGGCCCATTAAAGACATACACTAATCGACATATAAATGACCTATATAGAATAGTACTCAGAGTTTACGGACAATTTGCAAGTCTTAGCCGTCATAGGAACATTTTGCAATTCATACCATACTATCTCACACGAGTACTCATTCGAAATATCAAATCACCAAGTTGCTGTCTCCCTTACTTTTTGTAAGGAGACCCATTCAAAACATACACCAATCGACATCTATATAAGCTATATGAGAACATTTCGCAGAGTTTACGGACTATTTGCAAGGCTTAGCCGTCATAGAAACCTTTTAGAATTTACACCATACTATTTCACACTAGTCCCCATTCCAAAGATCAAATTACAAAGTTGCTGTCTCCCTTACTTTTTGTACGGAGGCCCATTAAAGACATACAATAATCGACATAAATATGGCCTATGTAGAATAATATTCAGAGTTTACGGGCAATTTGCGAGTCTTAGCCGTCATAGGAACATTTTGCAATTCATACCATACTATCTCAAACTAGTGCTCATTCGAAATATCAAATCACCAAATTGCTGTCTCCCTTACTTTTTGTATGGAGGCCCATTTAAGACATACACCAATCGATATAATAATATAGGACCTATATGAGAATATTACCCAAAGTTTACGGGCAATTTGTGAGGCTTAGCCGTCATAGGAACATTTTGAAATTTAAACCATACTATCTCACACTAGTCCTCATCCTCTGGATAATATTCTCATATAGGTTATATACTATTTTGTCGATTGGTGTATGTCTTTAATGGGCTTCCGTACAAAAAGTATTGGAGACAGCAACTTAGTGATTTGATATTTCGAATGAGTACTCGTGTGAGATAGTATGGTATGAATTTCAAAATGTTCCTATGACGGCTAAGCCTCGCAAATTTCTCGTAAACTCTTCGAAATGTTCTCATATAGCTTATATAGATGTCGATTGGTGTATGTCTTGAATGGGTCTCCGTACAAAAAGGGAGACAGCAACTTAATGATTTGATATTTCGAATGAGGACTAGTGTGAGATAGTAAAGTATGAATTTCAAAAAGTTCCTATGACGGCTAAGCCTTTTAATTTGCTGTTTAAATTTGATAAGTTTCCGCTTCCATAAAAAAAATATGTATTAAATGGGCCACAGTACAAAGACAAAGAGAGTTAGACATATACGTGTTTGTGAAATTGAAAGAATTCTTATGTGTATTTGTCATAAAAAAAAATTAAGTTATTTTAACAATATTTAAGTTTGAAATAATTCAGATTTCATATCGGGTCGATTTGCCGCAAATGTGTATGCTGAGACGATTCGACCCGAATCTGTATGCTAGTTGAATGTGTATGCTAAGTTCAGCCCGGTCAAATAACTTAATTTCGTGCTTACCTATTTTTCGTGTCTCTCCCAAAATGATATATAATTTACAAGTTTGACCTCGAGGGACCTCTGCATTTGCATGTTTTGATAAACATGAGTTATAATCGGAATTCCAAGTGTTGTGAACAAAGTGGCACTGTTGCAGTTTCAACCCATTTCCCTTCCCGTTGAGCTATCGATTTGAAACTTGGCAGAGAGGTTCAGTCGGGTAACCTAATTTCGTGGAAACCTATTATTCGTGGATTTTCGGAAATGATTAATAATTTAAGTGAGCGACCTTGCGCGACCTCCGCATTAGTTTGTTTTAATAAACATGGGTTTTCTCTACAATATCAGCTAGTAGAATGAATCCAGTAGTTTCAAGCATGGCGGATTTCACTTATTACCAAACGTCACCATTTTTTATCGGCCGAATTTCATTATAATCCCAAGCGGTAATCGGAATTCCAAATGTCGTCTGCTAGAATATAATCCAACGAATGAAGTCACGTGATCAACTAGCGGATTCCGTGTCAGCAGAAAATTTCTATGGAACTCAAAGTGGACCATATTCTTATGTTGTTTCAGTGACTTTTAGCAATAAATCACGCTACGTATCTTATTTTGTCAGTCACTATTTTTTTTTAAATCGTGGTTCTTTAAAGGAATTGTCTCTAGGTATAATGAATTGATATTAAAGATAAATACTAAGAGATCCTGATCACTCCGATCGCGATATCGACACGAAACGTGGCAATATGATTTAGTAATATTTCTTGATTACTCACAGAAATTTTCAGAACAATCAGACACCCCATACTATCGCCAAAGTCATAGCACGGTTCTCTATTGCTGCATCGCACCCGGATCACCCCCGATTGTGATATCGCCAAAGAGATAGCACGGTTCCCTAAGTAATGTGTCTTGATTACTCACAGCAATTTTCAGATCTATTAGACACTCCAAACTATGTTAAATCAATCGCCAAAAGTATGCCACTATGCTCCTATTGCTGCATCGCACCGCGATCGCCCCCAAACACGATATCGATACGAAATGTGGCAATGTGACTTACTAATGTGTCTTGATTACTCACAGCAATTTTCAGAACGATCAGACACCCCATACTGTATTAAATCAATCGCCAAAGTCATGCAACTTCCGATCGTGATAGCGACACGAAACGTGACAATATGACTTAGTAATGACTTAGTATTGACTTAGTAATGACTTATTAATGTGTCTTGATTACTTGAGTACACATTATTAAGTCATATTAGCAATAAATTACTCTTATGTTTTACTTATCTTATGTTGAAAGTCACTATTTTTTTCTCATATCATTTTCTATGAGGGAATTGTCAATAGTTATAATGAGTGAGTTCTCAATTAGACCATACATCTTGTGTACATAGTGTAAACACTAAGCCGATTGACAAGTTTTTGATTTGACTACAGGCATGGACCTTTTTGACTTTCAACTCATTTCTTTGAGGTTCAGTATTTTACATCTTGTCCAAACCACACCGCCATTCATCATACATCCTCAAGGCCGTGGTAACACAAGTGAGAAAAATTACGTATTCATAGCTAAATATTGTCCAATCAAAATTGGCCCTTCTGTATTGGTAGCAAATTTCAGCCAATATAAACAAATCACTTGTTACAACGCTTTGTTTGCTAACGTTAACAAACCAAAACAGTGTACCATTACATATTTTGATGAATATGTAGGACGGTACAGAATTGAGTAAGATTTTTCTATGCTATAAGTTTGAGAAGCAACATTATGCATGGTTCTAAGTTATTAATCGGATTTTCAACCCAATTTCTATTAGTTAGTGTTTCTTTTTTTTGGATGGGACCATGGAGACAGCTCCCTGCTGATTATATCAATTTCCCCACTTAGAATGAACATAAAAATTATTTTCTCAAGAATTGTCACTATGAGTATATATTCATCGGTGAACTTAAAGGGTGTCATAAAGTTACAACAGAATCCCTGTAAAATCTAGAAAATTGGAAAATTCATAAAACTAAGTAATTATTGAAAAATCTTAATATTAAGCATTTTTCAATAGTTAATTACATGTTTATGGATAAATGATAATAATTTTGGATTTATCGGAATATATAAGGATTCTGTTATGTTATTTATGACACCAGATATATCTACAGATGAATAATAATATAATATGTACTCTTATTGGCAAAGTTTAAAATTTTGTAATGTTATGTTCATTCTAAGACAGCCCGGTTGCATTTTAAAACTATATTTTATTTTATGATATTTGAATAAATATTGTTATATTTTTCCTATCAATAGAATATTATAAGAAGTGAAGAAGAAATGTGGAGATATGCTGGATATGGTATAATTGGAATTTCTATACCTATTGCATTTTCTGATATTGTGGGAACAGTTAGTACTGTTGATGGTGTATCAATGCAGGTGAGATGGTTTTACTTGCTGTCAGCATAGCTTTAATCTTTGTGTAAAGATTTATGAAGCTTCTCAATTCTTGATTTTTGAATAGCACATGATTTATTATAAACTGGTTTTATTGCCATAATAACTTATATAGTTTCAGATATTGTCTGAATTTGTAAATGTCAGAAAAGAGTTACCTACCTTTTATTCCATTCTCAAAAAACTTTCTATTATTTATAGTATAAACCTGTGAAAATATGCAAAAAGTGACTTTATTGATATTTGTAGCCCATTCTGAATCCTACAGCCAAACCAAACAAATCTTCTTCACCAAACAATGATGTTGTGTATATCAATAAATGGTCAACTCATGGCGCCAAATATTACAGAGGTGAAATCGTCACATTAAGGTTGGTGGTTTTGTTTTTTTGGAATTATTCAACTATCTGATTCTAAAAAAATATCAACAATAAGTCAGGCTTGACTAAGTCAGATTATATCTTTTACTCATGTAATCAAATATTGAATAGAAATATAACTGTTGAAAATGGATCATGGTATTCATAAACCTTTACCCACATTCAGAAACATCCTGGAACTGCCTACCTTTAGTTGTTTTTTTAATAACTAGCAGACAATCACATGGTGGTCATTGAATAATTCATTGATGCTACCAATGTATTGCCAAACTGTTATTTTAGTTTTGTGATTCAGAAGGTTAATTTTCTGAATTAGGGCCCCATTTCACAAATTTGTAACAAAGATGAAATCCACATAATTTAAAAGCTCAAACTAATTCTATATTCCCCGGAATGTAAGATATTTTCAGTTTCATCTGGATTTGATAAGTAAAACTATCAAATATTAAAAATAGATTAAAAGATATTTATTGAAAACATTACGTTTAAATGAAACTGTTTACAAACTGTACAGTATTGAACACAAATTGATGATAACTGTTTACAAACTGTACAGTATTGAACACAAATTGATGATAACTGTTTACAAACTGTACAGTATTGAACACAAATTGATGATAACTGTTTACAAACTGTACAGTATTGAACACAAATTGATGATAACTGTTTACAAGCTGTACAGTATTGAACACAAATTGATGATAACTGTTTACAAACTGTACAGTATTGAACACAAATTGATGATAACTGTTTACAAACTGTACAGTATTGAACACAAATTGATGATAACTGTTTACAAACTGCACAGTATTGAACACAAATTACTGATTGATGAATTATGGATACTTTGATGGAATGATGTTGTATATTCTTAGGGCTGGTTATATTTAAAAGTTTTGTTTGCTTCTTGGAAACCATAATGGTAGATAAAAGTATACTGTATGAATGCACTGTTTTTATATGGAAACCAGACTGGCACTGATAGCTGGGCTGCCCCGTCCACAAACTGAGGAGCCATATTACTTAGGGTGGACTACTTTCCATATAGATATGAGCTGAAACAGTTTTTCACTTGAAAAGTTTTATTTGGTAAATATTGGTACATGGTCATCAGTAAAAGTTTAATAATTATATGGTGATATAAAGAGGATCAGGAATGCATGATCGAGAAAATTGGTAAAAAACAAACAATCTAGAATGAATGATAGAAAGAAATACAATGTCTTGGCAATGAACTTAGATTCATGTACCCATTGACATAATGATGAAGGATGAATTTTGTATTCCACAAGTTACACAAAGCTATCAATATTTGAACTTTTTTTAGCTCTAAGATCGTTTGTGTAAATGATAAGTAGAAATTAGCAGGGAATGCCTAATTATCAAGGAAGTTTAAATTTGTGAATTTGGTAATAATGCTGTTCTTGATGAACACAAAGGTGTACTGGGTGGCTGACTTATATTTTCCAATGGAATATGAGACATATTATCCTGTTTGCTTCCATCAGGATCCATGTAGCCCTTCTTGGTTCTAAATCTTTTCAATATATACACTAGAAATAATAAGGCTAATATAACACTCACAAAACTACTAATACCAACAATAATATGAGAGTTTGTTATCTGAGTAATACCCAGTTTCACAGCAGTTTTTTGAGGAGTAGTAATATTTTGACAATTGATGATATATTGATGAAAATAGGTGAGACAAAATTCATATGTGGTAAGGGGAGATAAATCTTTCAAAGTATATCTGTGTAATGATTTGTGAAGATGTATTTTATGAATGAAGTCCTCTGACTGTATGATATGATAAATGAGTTGAAAATTGTTCAATTGTAGTCTTGGAATTTTGCCTATCCAGGCCACTGTTATTGTATCACTAGTCACTTTTATGGGAACAATTTTGAGATTTTTATTGATGACATTAACTGCTGTTGAACTGATGTCAAATCCTAAAGAATTTGCTGCTTTACATGCATATGTTCCACTGTCTGATTGCACAACACCATGAATAGATATTATATTGTTTTGATTCACAAGACGTTTATTGTTGGTGGTAGAATTAAATTCACTACCATCTGGAAGAAGCCATATTAAGTCTGGAGTGGGCACACCCAATGCTTGACACTCTAAAGTAAGAGTCTGTCCAACAGAGAGATTATAATGATCGTAGAATAATGGTAGTGATGTAGGTGGACACACTGGTGATAACATAGTCAATGGAACTTGTCTTAAAGGGACATTTACACTTGTTACTGGTGAATCACATACTAATTTATCAGAATAGGTGAAAATTGTTGTTATATTTTTTATTTCGGCATTCACTAGTTGTTTTTTGATCCAATAGATATTACAATCACAATGTAAAGGATTGTGGTATAAATGAAGTTCTCTAAGATTTAAAAGGGAAAGTTGAATATCGGAAGATATTCCTCTTAATCCATTATTATGTAAATAGAGCTTTTGTAGGCGCACTATATTGTTGAAAGCCTTCGAATGAACAAACAATAAAGCTGGATTGTCATGAATTTTTAATGAATGGAGTTGAGACAATTCACTAAAAGCTTTCCTATCAACAATTCTAAGAACTGGCATGTAACTTAGAGAAATCTCTGTCACATTTAAGTCACTAAAATCCATACTTGTTATCCTGTGCATTGGATTTGAATTAAGATTCAATGTCTGTAGATTAGACATTAGTGTAAAACTGCCAGCTGTAACTGATGCCAACATATTATTTGACAAGTCTAAAAACTTTAAGTTGATTAATCCGTTGAATGCACGTTGATCAATGAATTTGATTACATTATTAGATAAATCAAGATGAGTTAATTGGGATAACATGTCAAAACTGTTGGCATCCAGACGATTGATACGATTATGGGATAGATAAACTTCGTATAATAAACTCATAGATAAAAACCAGGATCTATTGAGTTCAGTGATTTGATTATGGTCTAAATACAGTCTAACGAGATGATTCAATCCACCAAACGCATGAAGTTCAATATGAATCAGAACGTTATGTGATAAATCTAACGACTGAAGATTTTTTAATCCTGAAAAACTACCATGACGTAAATTGCGTATGGCATTATTTGAGAGACGTAAAATATGTAAGTTAGGAAGGTATTCAAATAACCACTGATTATCAATATATTGAATAACATTGTGAGATAAATCCAGAAATTGTAAATTACCAAACGGTCCTAAATGTGTTAAATTACGGAACATATTGTTTGTAAGAATCAGAGCCATTGTGTTGCTAGGTAACTGGGTTGGAATATCAACATACCCTACACTTGAACAATTAACTGTCATGACTCGACTCTCTAATTGATAAATCATTTGTTTACCACATGAACATTTTGGGGGACATTGAGATGTTTGAACATTATGATTTGAAGAGACTTCTAAACAATATGTAGTCACGATAACACAAATTAAAACTGTTAATAAATTGTTCCTTGTCACTTGATAAAACATGATTAGAATTGTACTCAGTGTGGTCCGTTCGTTCTTATCACATTTTAGATTCTTAGATCGCTTGTTTAATATGCTCTCATTCGAATTTGATTATTTTCCTAGATTTATCATTTTCCCAGCGTTATACGTCAGAATATTTAGTGAAATATCCTGATTAGAAAGACAAATCTTCCACTGTCCAGATCCAGCACAAATTATATACTAAATGATTGATGGATGTGCTATATGGCTAGTCCAATGATGATAAATGAACAGACACCTTATCCTCTCAGAAATAACATGTTGATGGCTAATTAATGATTTTCTCAATGTGTCTAATTTGATGTTGGAAACTGAATCTGTGTTTCAATCATTAGGTTGAACAGACAGTGTATACTTTCAGTAATGAGTTCCCAATAGATTAATCTTTTATTCTATATTCCTGTATTTAATATCTTCTAGACATAGCTTCATATCTCATGTATCTTTATACATTCTCTTTACCAGAATCTAGATAGAATACTAGCTTACATCTCATCATTTTGTCTGAAAGTAGAAAAAGAACAACCATTATTGGATAATTTTGGAAATTAGGTTGCTGAAAGTCAAATTTTGGTACTTTTATCTGAAAATAATTAGGGAAAATGTCTTGTTTACTTTACTTTTACTTTAGTATATTTTGAAATATTAATAGTCTTAAGGCAGAATTAGAACTGGATGTGATTTTTCTTTTTCAAAATTTTTCGCCATTTTCATTGCTGATTTTGATCTTGAATATATGTAAATAGTCTTCAGAAGTAGGCCTACTAGAAAAGTATATAAATCGCATCATGGAACTTCAACTGACATTTAATGTGTGTCTGTCCCCGAGGAAGGGAGCCTTTGTGTTCTTGAAACATGTTGGACTACTCAGTTTTTTCTATAGCAGATTATTTTTTTGAATGTTTACCCATGTGTTGTGCTATAGAGTATCCACATTATTTGGATTAACTAAAAATGGATCAGTAAAAAACTTTGTGAAATGGTTTGTGTGTCTTCTATTTTATTGAACACATTATAATGTGGTTGTATACTGTCGTTGCCCCTGCCCACCAAGGAAATTGGCCACCTTGCGATGAACGGTTTTTGAGTTATTGCCCTTGACTTAGGAAAAACTCATCAAAATTTGTTTGTGAACACAAAAGAGACTACAATTTTCATCTGATTTAAATGAAATTTGGTGTGATCAATTTTAAAACAACAATATCTTGCACAAATGAGATTTTTTGTATGATTTGACACAGATAGGTGACTGCCTTTAATATACTGAAAATGTATGAGGAAAGTGGGCGTATCTTGCTAGGCAACCACTTATACAATGTTCACAACAAATTATCAATCTGTATTATAACAAAGGGAGACTTTTAACAATTCGGATATCTACCTATAGCTATCTATCTACATTTTGCTTTTTATTCGAATTGGCATATGACCCTTGATCTGGTTTAAGAAAGTAATAGAAAGTAAATGAAAGGAAACAAACTATGCTTTGTAATCTGATGTATTGGTTTTTCTGAGTGGTTTAATTTTCCTTCACTCATAACTGATTAATTTCTTGGATGTACACTCAAGTAACATTCTAGCATTCATAAACATTCTAAAAAAATTCATTTTCCAAAAATTAAGAGATAATTACGTCTGAAAAATGAAATTAATATATATGTGTCATCACCTGTTTTGAAAATCATAAAAGACTGACTGTACTCACCTGAAACCATGAAAAATGTTGTAAAAATGATAAGATAAATTAATCAACCAATGATGTTAGCTAAAAATTAGAAACTAAAGTTGAAATCTTACCAAGTTCTAAGAGCCGAGTTAATCCACTTCAATAGAATGAACTCTCACAAAACTAACAATATCAATACATTGAAATGTACACTCAGTGCACCTTGAAATTGCATGTTGAGGAATGAGAGTGGTTTGTTTACGAATCAAATACAACTAGACAATCGCCTCCCAACTTAAAGATTATAGGAATACCAGTAGAATGGTGGTGTAGTGGTGGATATTGTGTGCCATATCTGTAGTGTGTAGTAACTATATATGTTGTCAATAATGAGAGGTAGTGATCAATATTACTAGCTATTTATCATCCTGTATTTTAATACTACTTTATAATCTTATATATTACTTAATAATATTAAACTCTCCTATATTTACACATGTTTAACTAACTTGTATACTTTACAACTAATTCTAACACTATATAACTAATTCTTATACTTTATAACTAATTCTTATACTTTATATATACTTGAAAACTAATTCTCATACTTTATAACTAATTCTTATACTTTATATATACTTGAAAACTAATTCTTATACTTTATAACTAATTCTTATACTTTATATACTTGAAAACTAATTCTCATACTTCATAACTAATTATTATACTTGAAAACTAATTCTTATACTTTATGACTAATTCTTATACTTTATAAATATTTGAAAACTAATTCTCATACTTTATAACTAATTCTTATACTTTATAACTAATTCTTAATCTCTATAGCTCATAAATGCTTCATGCTATTCGATCTTCAGACAACTGATCAAGTTCAGTCTGCATCCTTACTGAAATATATAACTAAATCTTATACTTTGTTATTAATTTTAACTTATTTGTATAATTTAACAAGTAGTTCTTGTAGTTTATATCTAATTCTTATGTACTGATATGTGGACATATTCAAAGAAATGTGACAAGATATCAGTAATTGTAATGAAATTGTCTAATTATGACACTATCAATCTATTTTATAATTATACTTATATTGATCCACAGTAATTTCCACATTATCTTGTCATGTCTAATAAATACCTTAATTCAGATATAAACAGACAATAGATAGAGCACCAGGAGAATTGCTATCTTATTTAGGTCACATTTACTCAATAGTTGAGAAGGAAGTCATTTATTTCAAAGCACAAATTTAAAGCCAAATTAACAAACTTTATTTTGACTCTATTGTTGGAAACTTAGCAAACTGTACCTCTAGTATATATGCCTATTTATTTTTGTGATGGATGGACAACTTCTAAGCGATTTACTATATTGAACGAAAAAACAGACATTTTTTTTGAAGATTTTAACTATTTTACAGCATAAGTACCAAAGTTGGCATATACCATTTTTTCCACACTCTACAACTAGAATTAAAGTGATTGTTGGATTGCTTCTGTTCTTGCCTTTTTGGTTCATACAAGGAAATGAAAATATCATCTATTATCATGTAAAAATAAAATAGAATTTGGGTCTTGTCATATTTAGGTATCTTGTAGTCATTTAATGTTATATGTGGGCAAATTCCACACTTTGACGATGTTATAAATTTTTTTGCTTTTTGTTCTTAATTGTTCTTCAAAATATTGAGTTGTAAAATCCTCCCACTCATTAAATGGTTTATAAGAAGTAAATTATTATGAGAATAGAGTGTTATATTTTGATAGAACTTATAATCTATAGTGTTATCATGGATGTTGGTGTAAAGAAAGTGTTTAATACAATTCCTGTGAGATAAAGAAAGTAATTTGATGTGAAAGAAAAGGTAATAAAGTGTGATCCTGTTGGGATTAGTCTTGACTTCTATTAATCTGAGTAAATATATTGACTATAACACTACCCATATTGTCTGTAATCCTCATAGACTTCCTTTAATTCCATGCTTTTACATTTGATCATGGAAACATCATTATTTCAATTTCAAATTAGATGAAAATTGTATTTTTTATCATATTGCAAGGGTATATATAATTTCTCTAAAAGCAAGTTAGTCTTAATTTGTAACCTGAAGATCAGGTGTGATTATGAAGTGTTTCCTGATAGGGTTGATAGATTTTTCAACCTTGTTTTGCCATCTGTGATGCAGGTAATAGGGATTGACCAAAAAAAATGAAATGAATGGAGTTTTACGTCCTACTTTTCTGCACCATGTGGGCTAATGAAGACAGGCAATGCCATGCAGAGTGCAATGAGGGAAATTTTGCCAGGACAGCGGCATTAGCCTTTTTGATTTCCAACTGTCGAGGGATCTTTAACGTGCACAGCCTGTAGCACACAGGGCCTTGGTTTATTGTCCCGTCCGAACGACTGGACGGTTTTTCCATGTCAGCCCCTCTTAACTGCATCACTGACAGGGGGAAACCCGATTGAAAAATCTGAAGGTATTATCTCGACCTATACCGGGATTGAACCCTGGACCTTCAGGTAAGCGAGCAAGCGTCTTAACTCACTGAGCCACTGCGGCTCCCAAAACAAGTCAAGACACTGTGGGTACATGGTACAAGACAATGTGGAAAGAAGACACTGTGGGTACATGGTACAAGACTGTGGAAAGAAGACACTGTGGGTACATGGTACAAGACAGTGTGGAAAGAAGACACTGTGGGTACATGGTACAAGACTGTGGAAAGTAAACACTATGGGTACATGGTACAAGACAGTGTGGAAAGTAAACACTGTGGGTACATTAAAGATTCCCACATGCTAGAAATGGTGTAAAAGTAGCTAATGCTTACACTGTCCAGGCAAAATTTCAGCTCTTTCAGAAGCTGAAAAGTAATTATTGAAAGCTTAGTAGCCATGGCAAGCCTACACAATAGTTTAATGAATCCACAAGAGTATGTTTCAAGTTATGATGAAAATGTAAGTTTTTTATACAGTGCACTTATCTTACATTCTCATTTGGACTTGTATACGTCTGGTTGAATCAATTTATGTGTTCATTATGATTTGTTCCCAAGGCTGTAGGCTGATAATTTTACTCTAAGTAGGGGTTCATGGTTTTTTTACTGTCTCCTCAAGGCATTGAATCTTCTCTTATTTCTCAGACTGAAAATGAAAGTGTTCAATGTCCTGATAAGTTTATATTGACATTAATTTTCTTCTACAAAATGAAGAAATTCAAATCAAATACTTGTGCCAGTAAATAATTCTGATTTCACATTAA